TATATCTATTTTTTTCTAACTATATTTGTGACTGTAATATTGAAGTTGTAGGAATATTCTTTTGTAAGTGGTGTTACATATATGTCATTCAGTTCCTGAATATAGGCTCTAGGGGGCAGTGGGTGAAGAAGGAGTCAAGTTTGTACGTGGAGGCAGCAGTGCTTAAGCAGAACTGGTGTGATGAATTGAAAAATATATGCAATTATGAAATAAAATATTGTATAACCTTGTTACACCTTGTTACACTTGTTACTTATTTATAATAATACTTACAATGTAAGCATAAAACATGACATTTGTGTTATTATCATCTATGAGTCAGAAGAGTATAATAAAAAAAAACAGCTGAACTACTGACACGCTACTAAAAATGTGTAGTGACTGATGTGTTTTTAAAGGGATTGTTTTTACTCAAATATGAATATTTGATGAAAATGTATTCACCCTCAGACCATCCGAGATGTAGATAAGTCTTCATTAGAGGAAAAGATTTAGACAAATTCAGCATCACTTGCTCTGTAATGGACAGCGGTGCATGGATAAAGTACTTGAAAGCCACACTTAAGTAAAAGTATCTTACCAGAAAATGACTTTGGTAGAAGTTAAAGTCACAGTTTAGAATATTACTTGAGTAAAAGTTTTAAAGTATGTGATATTTATTGTACTTAAGTATGAAAAGTATTTTTTTAATATTAAACTTAAGTATTAAACGTAAAAGTACAAGTTCAAAATAGAAAAGGAGTAACTAAATAGTAAAAATATACACAGTTTGAGCAGCAAGATTGTGTTCAGTTTTAACTCTTTCTTCCATTTAGCACAAGAGCTACTTCATCTACGAAGACTCTTATTCCAACATAAGAAAACAGTTTTTGCAAATATGGAATCTGCATCTGAAGTGGCATTTAGATTCATTTACACAGACTGTTTAATGCAGCTCAGAGGGGACATGGATGCATTTGACCAGCAGTTACAAATGCATAAATAATGTTTTGTTTTAAACTTAAATATAAGTAACTTAATTCTAACTTTATTAGAATTAATAAAATTCGTTATTCGTTATTGGCACTCCATTGCTAACTTGTATAAAAATATCACTTTTGTTATCATGCTGATATCTGGAGAAAAACGGTACTCTTAGTGTGATTTAGATGGACTATATTAAATGATATAAATATATTAGACTAAATCACACAGTGTATGCGTGCTCTCTCTGGGTGTGTTTTTGTTTGGTTTTTGTGATATAGCCTACTCATAATGTCAGATTGTTTTTAGGAACAGATATCGGAAAAATAAAATACAATAAAAACAATACAACAAACTAAGTGTGCATATAGTTCAAATTATTGTTGAGATTTTTTACATCATTGCCTTGTTTCTAGGTCTATATTTAATAAAGCTTGTCAAGCTGTAAATATATCTGATATACATATAAAAAACTGGTAATAAAATGTTTATAAAATTGCATTTAGCATAGCAGGTGGCAGCAGATGATCTTTTGTGAATTTTTTTTTTATTTTGTCACAAAGTATCATCTGCTGCTTGCATTTGCTTATATCAAAAATGTATATGCTGGCTACAGCTGTTTTAGTTATTCAATATTACATTCAAATTGAATATATGCCTATTTTAAATGTTTTAGCATACTGTGTACATTGAAATTGAAGTGAGTTTTTAGTCTAATCTTCAAAACACTGTTAAACTTAGTACACTTTTATCTACATATATCGTATATCTATACTGGAAAAAAACAATAAGCAAAATTGAAGTATGGACTTTTGTAAAAAATCATCTTCAATTATGTAAGGAAATAAGTACATTTAACATAGTCAGTTAGAATTTGATGAGTTATTTCTACTTATATATTTTAAGTTTACTCTGCAACACAAATACATTTCACTCAGTCATGGTTTGTAAACTTTACTCAAACAGTGCAGTACTGAAAAAAAACATGCTATTTAAGTATGTGGTTCACTTACAAACATGAAAATAAACGGCTTATTATTTTCTTTAAAAACATATGTCTACTCAACACAGTTATTACCTAAATGAACACACAGACCTCAATAGGCTACTTGGTACACAAAAACCAGTGGATAGTGTTTGAATGGGTCATTTCGAGTAGAAAATGAACTACAGATGTCACAAAACAGCAAGTTCCCATTCAGTCAGTCACGTTCTACGTTACGTCAGTGACTGACGAATTGGGATCTCGCCCGAGAGCCCAATCACCTTCGAGTGTAAACTAAACAAGCCAATGACAGAGGGCTCTGCCCAACAGTTCTTTGCCGCACAGAAGCAGATGGAGGCATCTCAATACATCCTGCCCCGGCGGTCGGCTGCTGTAGCCCCCCCCCCGCCGGCTGCAGCCCCTCTGTCTGCTCGTTGCCGAGAGCGCCCTCCTGTGGCCTCTATCTCCGCTCCAGCTCGGCCGCAGCAGCAGCCTTCACAACGGCCGCAGCAAAGCGGCGCAGCCCGTCTCCGCCCCTGCCAAGCCACTGTGCCGGACAAAGATGCTCCTGTCTTGTGTGCAGAGATCGCGGTCCTGCTGGCGAAGGACGCGATACAGCCGGTCCCTCCAGCCGTGATGAGGTCGGGTTTCTACTTCATCATACCCAAGAAAGGCAGTGGGTTACGACCGATCCTGGACCTGCTCGTACTGAACCGGGCCCTTCACAAGCTCCCGTTCAGCAGGCTGACGCAGAGACGCGTCTTTCAGTGCGTCCATCCTTTCGATTGGTTTGAGCTCTCACGTCAGCCCGCCCTTCCGGGAGAATGGCGACTCCACCCCGAGACAGTCCAGCTGATTTGGAGATGCTGTGGGGACGCTCAGGTAGACCTGTTTGCCTCCCCGGACACGTCCCATTGCCAGTTGTTTTACTCCCTGGCCGAGGGACCTCTCGGCACGGACGCACTGGCGTGCAGCTGGCCTCGGGGCCAACGCAAATACGCGTTTCCCCCAGTGAGCCTTCTCGCACAGACACTGTGCAAGGTCA